TGACTGTGGCTAACTCCTGTTGACTGTGGTTGACTCCTGCTGACTGTGGTTGACTCCCCTGCTGGCGGTGGTTGACTCCCCTGCTGACGGTGGTTGACTCCCCTGTTGACTGTGGCTGACTCCTGCTGATAGTGGTTGACTTCCCCTATTGACTGTGGCTAACTCCTGTTGACTGTGGTTGACTCCTGTTGACTGTGGTTGACTCCCCTGCTAGCGGTGGTTGACTCCCCTGCTGGCGGTGGTTGACTCCCCTGCTGACGGTGGTTGACTCCCCTGTTGACTGTGGCTGACTCCTGCTGATAGTGGTTGACTTCCCCTGTTGACTGTGGCTAACTCCTGTTGACTGTGGTTGACCTCTGCTGGCGGTGGCTGAATTTCTGGTTGACGGGTGGTTGACTCTGTTGACTATGGCTGACTCCTGCTGATAGTGGTTGACTTCCCCTATTGACTGTGGCTAACTCCTGTTGACTGTGGTTGACTCCTGTTGACTGTGGTTGACTCCCCTGCTGGCGGTGGTTGACTCCCCTGCTGCCGGTGGTTGACTCCCCTGCTGACGGTGGTTGACTCCCCTGTTGACTGTGGCTGACTCCTGCTGATAGTGGTTGACTTCCCCTGTTGACTGTGGCTAACTCCTGTTGACTGTGGTTGACTCCTGCTGACTGTGGTTGACTCCCCTGCTGGCGGTGGTTGACTCCCCTGCTGGCGGTGGTTGACTCCCCTGCTGACGGTGGTTGACTCCCCTGTTGACTGTGGCTGACTCCTGCTGATAGTGGTTGACTTCCCCTGTTGACTGTGGCTAACTCCTGTTGACTGTGGTTGACTCCCCTGCTGGCGGTGGTTGACTCCCCTGCTGACGGTGGTTGATTCCCCTGCTGACGGTGGTTGACTCCCCTGCTGGCGGTGGTTAACCTTTGCTGACGGATTAATTCACCTTAAGTTTAACCCTCCCAGCTATTTCACCGTAAAATTAACCACCCAAATGTTAACCTAACCTAACCTATCATAACCCTCCACCCAAGGTAACATCAGAGTGTTTAATCATCAGGTGAACTAATCTAGGGGCTAATTTTCAGGTGAATGTATGAGAAACTCTTCAGAATGAGATGTCTATTTACGCTGTGATGTACAATTTGTTGATATTTTACATTAATATTTAATTCAAAGTTAAATGGAAACCTAACCTAACCTAACCTGACAAAGATATCTTCAGGTGTGTTAATTGCTCTGCCAGGTAATATGTTTTATGGGTTTGTGAATCTTGAGAATTGTATATGTACAGTACAAGACCAAGAAAGGGTATTATTACTGTAGTAGAAGAAGTAGTAATTCTATTATTATTATTATTATTATTATTATTATTATTATTATTATTATTATTATTATTATTATTATTCCCGAACAGAGACTCAGAGACTCAACCCGATAGCAGTAGTAATTGAACGACAATGTTCTCAAGACTACAGGTTAGTCATACATAAACACGCATACTCCCATACACACACTCATACTGTTATACACATATTCATACAGTCATACACACACTCATATTGTCATACACACACAACCATATAGTCATACACTCACACCCATAATGTCATATACACACCCATACTGTCATACACACACACCCATAGTCATACACCCACCCATAGTCATACACACACCCATAGTCATACACACCCATCCATATCACACACCCAACCATAGTCATATACACCCACCCATAGTCATACACCCACCCATAGTCATACACACACCCATAGTCATACACCCACCCATAGTCATACACCCACCCATAGTCATACACTTACCCATAGTCATACACACACCCATATGTCATACACCCAGCCCATAGTCATACACCCACCCATAGTCATACACCCACCCATAGTCATACACCCACCCATAGTCATACACCCACCCATACGTCAAAAGCACACACCCATAGTCATACACCCACCCATAGCTCATACACCCACCCATAGTCATACACCCACCCATAGTCATACACACACCCATAGTCATACACCCACCCATAGTCATACACCCACCCATAGTCATACACACACCCATAGTCATACACCCACCCATAGTCATACACACACCCATAATCATACACCCACCCATAGTCATACACTCACCCATTGTCATACACCCACCCATAGTCATACACCCACCCATAGTCATACACTCACCCATAGTCATACACCCACCCATAGTCATGCACCCACCCATTGTCATACACCCACCCATAGTCATGCACCCACCCATTGTCATACACCCACCCATAGTCATACACTCATCTATACAGTTATACGAGAGAAGTTGGCTAGGAGTGTCACCCAATCACAGATTACCTCACCCTATTGGGCTGACGTCATTGGTTGCCTTACACAAGACACTGGGTGGTGGGAGGAGGAGGGAGTTGTCCTTGGTGGAAAAATACAGTATACACGATCTCAGATTTGGGCATCAATACACATCCCATACAGTCATACACCTGTACAAATCATACACCTGTAGCCTTGCACTTATACAGTACAGTCATACAGTGTTTTATAAAGTATTGTTTGAGTTTACGTGAATCTCTCTCTCTCTCTCTCTCTCTCTCTCTCTCTCAGGTTGCCAGGTACGGACGTTATCTTAAAGAAAGGACAGCATGTTACCGTGCCTGTCTGGAGTCTTCAAAATGACCCTCGCTATTGGACCAACCCAGACCAGTTCCTCCCAGACCGATTCTTGCCCGAGAACAATCACAATGTGATCAGCGGCACCTACCTTCCCTTCGGTCTTGGACCCAGAAACTGCATCGGTAAGTCCCAGACCGGTTGGATGATTGGTCTCTGTGTTGTGTTAAATGTTGATATCACTTTATCTTTTGGTCTGGAATCCAGAACTATTAATGTGTGAGACCATTTTTCCGAATTGTTTAGGACCAATTTGATGTTTCAAATTAAAATAGTTCACCCGTACAGTAGTGCTGTAGCTGAGATCAGTTTTCTGTCTGTACCAACTTGACTTGATTAATTTATATACAAAAAAGTGGAAGGTCATATGCATGAGAAGATATTTACTTTAGAATTTTATACTGTACACAGACAAGTAACTTAATTTATTTATTTCTTTATCTTTGCAAGCTGCTTAATTCATACTATAATCTGGTAAAGTCATGAGAACTTACTAAAGCTTAATATGCAACATATATCTTCAGTTGTTCTTGTTCTTCTTCACAGCAGTTGTGTGTTCTATTGTGATCTGCTTGTGACGTTAACATTGCACTTGGGTGTGACGACCCTCTCTCTCTTTCTCTCTCTGTCTCTCTCTCTCTCATAGTCTTTCATATTCTTGCAGGAATGAGGTTCGCCTTCATGGAGGCCAAGTTGGCATTGGCTAAGGTGATCTTGAAGTTTGAGATGTCTCTGGCGCCTGGCCATGAAGAATTGAAATTGTCCGTGGTGGCCATGAAACCCACAGATGACATCATGCTCGTGTTCAAGTCACTCGAAGACGAACAATAAGTCACCTTATTTTGACTTTCCATTGTGACCCTGACTTGGCTCAGATATAACCAAATTTTCTATGAAAACCCAAACTTTTATTGAAACAAGTTAGCTTTTTCATATATCATCTTGAATACATAATTCAATCAATCAGAGTACCGTCCTGATATCTGAGGGTTGGCCCAAGAACGTTTAAAGTGGAGTACTTCCGCTCTAAACGTTTTCGGGCTGTTTTTTACCGATCCTCCAAGATTTTGTATCTCTCTGGGGACCCAGTTTTTAATTTCATTCATCCATCTCAGTCTCTGCCTTCCCCTGGCCCTCCTACCTTCAACTTTGCCCATTAATATCTCTGTTATTATCCCTTCGTCCATAATTATATAACCAAAATATCCCATTTTTCTTTTTCTGTACATTTCAATTATTTCTCTTGAAGTTTTTGCGAATCTTAGTACTTCTTCATTTGTTTTCCTGTCTGTGTAGCTTCTTCATAGTATTACCCTATAACACCACATTTCAAAGACCCCCAACTCTCTTGCTGGTGTCTGCCGAAGGTGTCCACACTTCTGACCCATACGTCAGTCGTTACCATATAAAATCTTTCAGCAGTCGTTTTCTCAATTTGAAGTTAATGTGCCTTTTCATTGCGTAGATTAAACTTGACCTCTCACCAGAAAAAATACCACTAATTTTTGCCCTATTTTGACCTTCTGTGACCTTAACCTTAGCCCAGTTAAAACTAAAATAAATAACTTTTCTTTAATCTCTAGTTCCATAAATGCGCTGAGTTTCGCTGCAGTTGGTTTGATTCAGTTAAATACATACGTTGATAGATTCCTTACCACTATTACATTCATTATACCACCTGTTCCTAGTATCATCAGGGATCAACATTATACTTAGCTGTCGTTCCTAAATTTGTCATTGTTACTTCTGTGGTATATGAAGTAAGGATCTACAGTAGTCTCTTATTATTCTATTTTTACCCCATATATACAATTTATTCTATTTTACCCCATTTATACGATTTATTCTTTTTTTACCCCATTTATACGATTTATTCTATTTTACCCCATTTATAAAATTTATTCTATTTTTACCCCATTTATACAATTTATTCTATTTTTACCCAATTTATACAATTTATTCTATTTTTACCCCATTTATACAATTTATTCTATTTTTACCCCATTTATATAATTTATTCTATTTTTACCCCATATATAAAATTTATTCTATTTTTACCCCATTTACAAAATTTATTCTATTTTTACCCCATTTACAAAATTTATTCTATTTTTACCCCATTTACAAAATTTATTCTATTTTTACCCCATTTATACAATTATTATTACAGGGTATTTGTTTTCGTGTAATATGATGAAGAATATGTGAATAAAATTTCTTCACTGATCACATTGCGTCTTCCATTCACTGCGTTGTTATTACCACTGTCCAGGAGAATGTGTGCAGGGAGGCAGGAATAGGTCGCCTCCCTTGACAATACAGTCAATAGTATACTTACTTTTTCCATGCCTTGAACAATGAGTTTTATGGTATGGAGTTATGAGTGTATCTTGACTATTTTCTCTCTCTTTTTCTCACCTTTGCCATATAAGTATTACTACCATTACTACCATGTGGTATATGAGAATGAAATCGTGGTTCAACATTGCCTTGTTATTTACTACTACTTGTGATCCTACCAGAGGCGGACTGGGCACTGTTTGGGGGCCGTGCCATTTAATTTTGTGTTGGGGCCTATTTCACTCCACTAGAACTGATAGTTGGGGCCCATTTCACCCCACTAGTACTGATAGTTGGGGCCCATTCCACCCCACTAGTATTGATAGTTGGGGCCCATTCCATCCCGCTAGTATTGATAGTTGGGGCCCATTCCATCCCGCTAGTATTGATAGTTGGGGCCCATTCCACCCCGCTAGTATTGATAGCCATCCATGACATATGCATTAGTCACCAGGTTTATCATTTTTTGAGAAGAATCATTCACTCGTCTGGTCATCTCCTGATAGTCGTGTTCACTGGGCTATCCATCAGTACACCATTAATTAATAGAGAGAAGAGACCTTGGCAATAACATCCCCTGGTGCACGTGTCGTTGGCTCAGTGTAGTTAGAATTTAAAAATCAGGGTAATACCTGAATTAATTTCGAAGATTTTTTTTTTTTTTTTTTTTAATAAGTGGGAGGAAAGGAGAGCCCATAATGACCGACTGAGGGGGGCTCATGTGCCATGGCTCAATGGCCAGTCCGACTCCGGATCCTACCAATGCGCATTGTCATACTTTTTTTTTTACTTTTATCCTCTTCGCCACTGATCGGCTTGTTAGCCGCCCGGGCGATCGGTCACGTCTCTTTTCATTTATATTCTTCACCAAAAGATCGGCTCGCGAGCCGCCCGGGCGATCGGTCACGTCTCTGTCCCGCACTGTTGGCAAATACTGGGCATGCACCGGCTCCTAAATGTACCTGAACCCGCTCCAGTGTTGGACAAATCTTGTCTTGAAAGAGCTCACACACGGTGACGTCACAACACTCTGGTAGATTGTCCCAAGAGTTTACAACCCTCACTCCGAAAAAGTTTGCCCTCACGGTTTCTGGACTTGCGGCTCCTTCAATCTTGAGCTGTGACCCCTTGTGGGGCGAGCGTCCGCCAGCTCCCAGTAAGGACACTCAACTGAGTAGTGCCCCTGAGATGCTTATACACCTCAATCCAGTCCCCCCTTGCCCGTCTGTAGTATAAGCTAGGCAAGTTCAGGCGCTCCAATCTCTCAGGGTAGCTGAGGTGCCGAAGTGCAGGCACCAGTTTGGTGGCCTCCTTTGAACATTTTCTACCAACTGACAGTCCCTAGCATATCTCGGGGACCAGATGGGGTGACAGTACTCCAGATGGGGAAGCACTTCACTCCTGAAGATCGTCACGAGGGACGCACCGTCTAGATATCTGAACGACCTTCTTATAAGACCCAATAATTTATTTGCCTGATTTACCTTCTTCTCACAATGGCCCGAGAACTTCAGCTCATTGTAAACATACTCAACTAGGTCCTTCTCACACACAGTCTCAACTAGTGCATTTTCTTCATCCCGTTGGGACATACGATACGATACGAAGTCTTTAGTTAAGAGGTGAAAGAAGATTAATAGGGGTTGAAGGAAAAGTGGTGAAACTGAAATACAGTAGGAGTAGAAAGAATCTGGGCTCAACCAGATCGCTTCATCTTTCTTATTGGTGTTTTATCTTTGTTCTGCTCCCTTAGGTCGTCAGACCTTTGTATTAATATTGGTTTATTTATATAATGCTGCTTATTATTATTAGTTTTATTATTGTTGGAGTTAGTGAGCCCGCCCAGGTCCTTGTGTAACTGGGAGGGTAGTCACATTTGTTTATTTTTTTGAGGTGTTAGTTAAGTGTTAGTTGTGTTAGTCTAAGGTACACTGTATGAAGAGGCCTACCAGGTTCTCAGTGGAGCTGGTTGGTCACTCTCATCTTTATTCCTCTATTAATGTTTTATGTGTAAATGTGTATATTGGGGCAGGAGGTGGTTCAATTACTTCTTCCTGGCTGATGTAGCTGGGAGGGTAATCACATTATTAATATTATTATTTTTTTTTTTTTTTTCC